TCTTACCATTATCAAGTTTGATGATACAGAAATTAATAGAAAATGAAAAACATGGGGCAGGAAACACAACTAATAAACCATGAAATTATGTTTCTGTGTATTATTTGAAATCAAATAGTACTCAATTTATGAAGGAAGAAAAATAGTGATTAAAGTCAGGGAAAGGGGAAATAGAGAATGGTGTAAGTCAGACTCATTTAACCACAGAACAGAGAAAGGCAGAAATAGCAAGAAATAACATAATTTTATAGATGAGACAGACCGTAAGTATTTGAAAGAATCATTTATGAGTAGCTGCTTTGGAGAGGCAGAGATAAACAAATGTATGGATAGGCTCTCTCTTCTTTTTTCAGAAAAAAAGCCATCTCTGTTATGGGTTTTTAACTATAAGCTTATATTCCCATCATGGTTTTAAGGGTTGCCTTGAGATACAAGGGATCACATGCTCATGGGTTCCCAGAAACTTGTTATAAAAACTGATTTCCTCAAAAAAAAAAGTGTAATAAATGTGTCTCTAAAGCCAAAAAGTTCACTTAGAACATTCTTACAAAAACATACAGACTGGGTTAACAAACACTAATGCATTAGTAACAAAGCAAGGTTAAAGGAGAATTTCTAACAATATGACTGTATATAAAGAATGAGTAATGAAATTAAAGCTGAACCAATTAGCTCAATGAGTAGAGGAATAACAAAAATACTACATCTAGTTTGTAACATGCTGCTCAGGAGAACTTAAATCACCACATACAAAAGAAAAAGAATTAAGATCAGTAAACTAAAGGCTAACAAATTAATTCTATTCAATCACCACCTCTCTAGCCCAATTCTTAAATAAAATATATTTGTGCACATGTTCAAAATGTGTAACACTCAAATTCAAACTCTAGATTTTAAACTCAGTTTAAAATTACTAATACTAATACTCCATACATATTATGACAAAAAAGTTTTTAAAACAAGTTTGGTATTGAAAATAACTTAATAACTTAAAAGAACTTTGCCACAAAAATGATTTCAAACACATCCATGTGATAGTATGCATGATGAACAAGCATGTAACAGAAAATCATTTAGTGACATAAGAAATTAATGATGAAAATGCAAGAGAAGGGGTGGCTAGAGATTGACAGCGTCCTTGTGTAACATGAAAGGAGCCCTGGTATGTTGTCAAGAAGCATAAGAACCAGAAATGGGGCCAGGCGTGGTGACTCCCATCTTTAGTCCCAGCACTGGGGAGGCAGAGGCAGGTGGATCTCTGTGAGTTCGAGGCCAGCCTGGTCTACAGAGTGAGTGCCAGGATAGGCTCCAAAGCCACACAGAGAAACCCTGTCTCGGAGAAAAAACAAAACAAAAACAAACAAACAAAAAAAACCCAGCAGAGTCTACATAAAACACTGTCTCAAAATTTATTTATTTATTTATGTAAAAGACAAAGTCTCACTGGCTGGTCTGCAACTCAGCTTCAAACTAAGATTCTCCCACCTCTGCCTCTGCATACAAAGTTTGTGCTGTAACAAAAAATAAAAGACCCAGAGACTGATATTGGGGTTCAAGCTTCAAGCTGAACATCAGAAAAGCAAAGCAGCCAGCCACTAGCTCTTACTCTGCCTCAGAATGAAAGGTGATCCTGGCTCTACCAAACCTCAGACTGTAACCTCTCCTCATTGTGGTTAGAGAATCCTGAGACTTCTATGTCTTCCTATCCTCAGTGTGGTTGGAGAATGAAAGTCTGATACTGACCACTGAAGACCCTGCTCCTATCTTTATACCCCTCTAGTGCTGGAATTAAAGGCATGTGATCCCATCTTTGTGTGAGCTGTTTCTCTTTAGGACTAGATTAATCTTGTGTAGATCTGGGTGGCCTTGAACTCACATCTACCCCTTAATCCTCAGTCCTAGGATTAAAGGTGTGTACCAACACTTCCTAGCTCCTGGCTGCAGGAAATAAAGGTGTGTATTGCCACGTTCTGATCTTTATAGCTTAAGGTTGATTTTGCTTACTGAATCATCAGGAAAGCTTTAATAAACCATGAAAAATATTGCACCACAGTGCACCACCACAAACAGCTAACATCTATAGATTTTTATTTATGTGATGTATGGATGCCTACATGTGTTTATATGTATCACCTAAGTGTTGTAACCATGGGAAACCAGAGGGCATTCCCTGGAAGTGGAGTTACAGGTGGTGTGAGCCAGATGATATGGATGCTGAAAACCAAACCCCAGTCCTCTTCAAGAGTAGTAAAGTATTCTTTCATCATGAGCCATCACTTGCCACTCAGATGAAAGATTTCAACTGGAGGAGGAGGAGGAGGAGGAAGAAGAAACAATGATGGAAGAGAAAATGTAGAATATACTCCTGTAGTGTTTGGAAATGGTAGCACAAGCCTGAATATAAGTCTTCTGAAACTGAAACAAAAAGATCATAAACATGAGGTCAATCTGGACTACATAGTGAATTGAAAGCCAGCCTGAACCACACAGTAAGACTCTGTCTTTTAAAACCAAGAGTGCTGCATCTACATCATGCAGTTCACAACTGGCTGTCACTCCATCTCCAGGAGAATCTTGAAGACAAATGTTTTTGACCCATCAAGTCCTGCTGCACTTCAGGCCCAAATAAGCATACAGATGCATATTAATTATTAAACTGTTGACCGATGGCTAGGGCTTCTTACTGGCTAGCTCTGTTTTAATTATTAATCCATAAGTGTTAATCTACATATATTTTCACATGATCATGGCTTACCAGAGAATGCCCAGACCTGTTACTCCTTTGAAGGCTATATGGCGTCTCCTTGCAGCTTCTCTGCCTCTCTCCCCAGCATTCTCCTCATCTCCTGGCCTGGACTATCTTTGTACCTCTTCTGGCCAATCAATGTGTTATTCATCAACCAATAAGAGACACATATATACAGAAAGTCATCCCCCATCAGATTCTGATACTTTTCTTTCCGAGGTCACCTACGCCCATGTGCATATACTCACACACAAGCACTTAATTAAAAATGAATAAAAAAATATATTTAAAAAGAAAAAAGCAGGGGCTAGAGAGTTGGCAGGGGTTAAATCCCTTGTTGCTTCTCACAGAATACCCTGGTTTGATTCCTAGCACCCATATGGTGGCTCACAACTATCCTTAACTATAGTCCCAGGTGATCTGACACCCTCTTCAGACTCAGTGGGTACCAGGAACACAATTGGTACATACACATGTATACAGGCAAGGTACTCATACACATAAAATAATCAAATAAATCTTAAAAAGACAAAAGACTTTGGGGGGGAGCCAAAAGAACTCTTTTACCCCCCCCCAAAAAAACCTGTAATGTATTATTAGTACTTAGATTGAATAATCATCACTGTTGCCCATAGCACTCAAAAATAAACCGCAGCTGTATGCTTTCAATTTTTTAATAAGAAATCTTACTTTATAAAGGCTGATATGTGAATTACCAGATATTATGATTCTTCATTTTTCCCTGATAATAATATGCTTCAAATTTTGATTACTTCTAAATCTGTTGTATTAAGTCTGAACCCGATTAATGATGTACTGTATCCTGCTAAGTAGAATTAAATTAGTGTATAATTGATTAGTATATAATTGAGGCAGTTGTAGATTTATCAACTTTAATTAGGAGAGCTTATTACAGATAATTTATACTATAAGAGAAAATAGACAAAGAAGTTCATCAAAACCTCAAATTAAGATCAGAAACATAAAATTAAAGCTTAGAAAGGACTAAATGTTAATACCAAGTACTATGAAAGTAAATCACTTTAGTCTAAATTCTTTTAGAGGAGAAAATTAATTATTAACCTTTAACCTAGAGTTTTCAAGTAATTATACTATGTATGGAAATACATGTGATGCTAACTTGTATGAAAAAAATGTATATAGCTTGTTTACCTACAACATGAAATAAACCAAAAAGAAAACGAACAAATTTACTTTTAATACTTCGAATAACTGCTTTAAAAAGGTATTCACATGTGGAAGTCATGGCTCAGCAGCTAAAGGTGCTACAACAGAAGCTTCTCCAATCCAGTTCAATCCCTGGAACTATTAAATTCAGTGCAACTTATACTGTAAATAAACTAGTAAATAAAGGTTGAAGAAGAGAACCAACTCCACAAAGTCATCTTCGGACCTTCACACATATGCCCAAAACACACACACACACACATACACACACACAAACACACACACCCCAGACATACAATTATTATTATTATTATTATTATTATTATTATTATTATTAAATAAAAGCTAAAATACTGTAACTCCAATCCTACAAATAAAAATAACTAATAAGCAAGTGAAAAAGGATATGAGAAAGAGAATATTTGTCTAAAGTTCTCTGGATACTCTTGTGGGTGGTGTAACCACAGCCCCAGAAAGTTCTACACATAAATTGTTAACTCCCCTGAGTTTAAAGCCATGGTAATTAGGTTCATTATCTCACATGCTAATGACACAGAGATAGTAAGTTTGCAGTGAATAATTCATACAACTAGCTCTCACAGTTATGCTCGTTGCTAATAGTTTATTTACAGTACAAGTTGCACTGAATTTAATAGTTTAATTTTATTGCTTAGATAAACAGGAATCATTTAGTGTAGAACTGTAATTTACTACCAGTAAGTGATAATCTTAAGAATATATTGGTCTGTATATTTATCTAATTTTTGCTCATTCATTGGCAGTTATAATATCAAACTATCATGCAAAACTCTGTAGAAAAATAAAGGTTTCTGGATAAAATTTTAAGATATGATGGATTAATGTCAAATTACAAGATGCTTTAGTGGCTGATACTTTGTAAATAAGTAATGACATTCTGCTAATTTTGAAATGTATACAAGGGACAACTTGGGAATTTTCAATATTAAAGTAAAAAAGAATCACTCAGATTCCTCATATGGTTACTAAATTGAAATTTTTACCCAGTTTTGTAATGGATTTTAATGTTAGAATTGCTGCATTTACATTAAGAAACAAAAGACAGGGTAGTTTTAATGTCTTTGAAAATGAGTTTCTTAATTACACTAACTCATTTCACAGTTTACATAAATTATGAAATTTTTATGCTAATGTGCTGTTGAATTGTGGTGACTCTTAAGTTCTCTAAATCAAATAGCTAACACTTGTTTATAATCTTTGATACTTCTACAGAATCTTTTTTAAATTAATTTTGTTTACAAACTAGGTTGCATCAATGAAGAGAGGTTAGATGGGTTTCAAGTAACATTCATCCAGTAAGAACTTCCAACTCTCAGCAGCTTCCCGAAGTAGGTCATCTGTGGATTCAACTCCGTGTGCCCTCACCTCAAGACCCAAGATGCTGGAGCAATCACAGTCTCCAATTCTGCCAGTCATCGAGGCAGATGGAAAGAATGTTCCGGATGGTCTTGTACTAGTAATAAAATGCTATAGTATAGGATGGACAGGAGATTAATACTTGGAATAATAAAGAATTCAAAACAATTAAATATCAAAAAACCCAGAAACCATACAGGTAATAAATGAGCCAACAAACTAAACAGATAGTTCTCAAAAGAAGTAAAAATAGCCAATAAATACATAAAAAATGTTCAACATCCTTTGTCACCAGGGAAATAGAAATCAAAACTCACTGAGATTCTTTCTCACTTTAGTCAGAATGGCTATCATCTACAACTTAAGGAAGGGTAGGGCTAATGCACTGATGGTGAGACTACTGAAATCAGTATGGAGGTGCCTCAAAAAAGTCATAGGATCTGGCTATTCTGCTACTGGTTATATGCCAAAAGGACCCCAAGTCAGCATAACACAGAGATGACTACACACCTGTGATTACTGCAATACCATTCACAATAAGACAAGGCAGGCAATCAGCCTAGATGGCTATCAGCAGATGGGCAGACAATATACGGTGTATATATTCACGGTGGAGTTTTACTCTGCAGGAAAATGGATAGACCAAGACATCATCATGCTAAGTGAAATAAAGCAGATTCAGAAAGAATGTCTGATACATAGAATTTAGATTTTTTTTAAAGTAAGAATGTATATGTGTATGGCATATAAGGAAAAGGGAAACTATTAGCGCTGGGTATATGTCACAAGCCTGGCATCCCTCATAAGAAACTGAGGCAGGAAGAATGTAACCTTAAATCCTGCCTGAGCTACGGTGAGTTGAAGGCTAGTCTTAGCAATATAGAGATGCCATCTCAAACAGGAAACAAAAAGGGCTAGGGATATGGATCAATAGTTAAAAATTCACCTAGCCTATGTAAGGTGTTAGGTTCATTACCTATTGCTAAGTACGTATTTATTAATGTAAGGGGACTGCTGGGAGTGAAAAAGAAAGGATATACACACATATAAAGGTGTCACAGTGAAACCCAGTATTTTGTAAATCCAGAAAACATTTAAACATTAACATTTCAAAATTAGGATGTTACCAAAACAAAAAACGGTTTAAGAATCAGTGCTTTATATAATAAAGTCTAAAGGACAATTCTACAAAACCTCATGGGTAAAAATGTAATAAAATCTGTGAGTAAAGTGAAAGAAATTCAATAGTAAATTTTAAAATATTATGATCAGAGACTGTAACCACATTATTCTTTTGTTCAAATCTGTCTTTTATTCATGTTTTTATAGGGTTTTTCTTTTAATAGCTTTTAAATAGTATCTGGTAAGTTTACACTAAGTATTTTCTCTTCTCTTTTCCTTTTAAAATAAGGTTTTCAAGTATTCAAAAACATAAATGCTTACTTTGTACATGTATTTTTTGATAAATTCTTATGTTACTTGTAATTTTGAGTCTGTAAAGTTTTCAAACACATGAATATATCACTTGGTGGTTTCAGTTCTATTTATTTCACCAAATCTCATTGCATTTAACCTCCAGCAATGTTAAGTACTTGTATAAACTATGTAACTACTTTACTGCTGACCTTAGGGAGAATGTATCAAGTGTTTCCTTTTTAAGTGAGATACTGGCTTCAGGACTGAGGCTGGTAAACAATCAAGCAAATGAACGAACGCCTGTGGTGTGTGGTGTAAGCACCCTGCCCACACATGTGGAGACCAGAGCAGGACTTATGCAGCCAGAACAGGAAGTGAGGATTCTTCTCTATAGCTCTGTCCTATTGCCCTGAGAAGGTCTCTCACTGAAGCTGAAGCTTGCAGTTTTGGTTAGTGGGGTTACAGGCACATGTAGCCATGTTTGCTCTTCATGTGGGTGCTGGGAATTCTAACTCAGGTCCTCACGCTTGCAAAGCAAGAGCTCACCAACTAAATAATCTCCTCAGCCCAAATTAAATGTATTTCATAATATTAGCCGGCGACTGGGCGGTGGTGGTGGTGCATGCTTTTAATCCCAGCACTCGGGAGGCAGGCGGATCTCTGTGAGTTTGAGGCCAGCCTGGTCTACAAGAGCTAGCTCCAGGACAGCCTCCAAAGCCACAGAGAAATCCTTTCTCAAAAAACAAAAACAAAAACAAAAACAAAAACAAAAAAAAGGAAGTACCCTGTGAGCCTGGAGGTAGTGGCACAGGCCACTAATCCCAGCACTTGGGAAGCTGATGGATCTCTGTGAGTTCCAGACCACCCTGGTCTACAGAGCAAATTCTAGGACAGCCAGGGCTACACAAAGAACCCCAGTTCTGTAAACAAAATAAAACAAAAAGGTCCCTTTGACTCCTACCTAGTCTCTCAAACATTCTTTTGGTCAAAATAGGTGTTGGCCTTTTGTCAGGACCATTTTCAGCAGCTATGAAGATAACCATTTGATTTCCCACCTTGGATCTATTAAGAAAGAAAATTAGGTTAAAAGATTTTTATTATTGAGCCATTTTTAAACTTCTGTTATAATACCCACATGGTCACAGCATATTATTTTCTTAATGTGGTTATCAATCTTTTGCTAAGATATTATCAAAGATATAATTTAGTATTCACAAATTATGTTCATCTAAATTTTTTTTTAGTGTTACCATTATCAGAGTTAGGGTATAAATGTTACACATAATACACAAAAAGTGATGAAAGAAGCTTGCCAAGAGCCAGGTAGATGCTAAGCAAGCCCTATTCCACACAGCTAAATTCCCAGCACAATTTCCTTTACTTTCATGTCAGACCTAGGTGAACAGCTTTAAGATATGGTAATTAGGCAGCTGAACAGATCATAAAGGATCTAAGACCTTGACATCTTGTCATTGTCACTGTCATCAATGTTTTGGTTTTATCTGGAACAATTCTGAAAAATGTTACAAAACAGCATACCTAATTATAAACACCAATCAAATTGGAAATATCAAGAAACGGGGGTGAAAATTTTCCAGGCTTTTCATTAAAACTCCTCCTCTATCTCACCAGTCATATTATCAATTATGGGCCAGATATGAGCTCATGTCTATACATGATTAGAAAGGAAAACGGGATAATTAATGATTGGTATAGGCTAATGAGAATCTACTCAACTCATAGGATAATGGGATAAGTAAACTCACACACACACACACACACACACACACACACACACACACGACTACCATAAGGACACAGTAATGAATGTTTTTTTTTGTTTGTTTTGGTTAAGCGTTTTATTAAGGAAATTAGCTAATCTGGACATTAATTATATATTTTTAGCTGTGACATATATTTGATTATCGAGCAAGCCTAGATGAAGTATTTAGATTCATTACAACTCTTTCATTCCACAAGACAGGCAAATAGCATAATGGCTAAAAGCCTAGGTTTTAAAGTTAGATTGACCAAGTTTAAACATCCACCACTTATTTGTATGAGTCTGGTCAATATATCCCTCCTAAAACTCTAGACAGCATGATTTTTTTAACTCATGCTGTTATGAGAAGTAAATGAAATAATGAGGGCAAAATGTTTGGCATTTAACCTAAACTTTGCAGGAAGTAGTAAATAAATATTATTAGCCTCTAACATTTAAATTCTAAGAACTGAAATTTTGTGAGAACTGTAACATTTAGGTTTTCAAATGAAAAAGTATTAACTCTACCCTTCTAGCTTTTATTTTTAAAATATACTGCGGGTGACTTGGCATAATGACGAGGTGTCACTCCCTAATTATTTTCCCATCTCTTTCTTCCATTTATAATTTTCTTCCATTTACAACTAGATGTTTCCAATATTCTATTAGGTTTACAACTGCAAAGCAAATATTACAAACCCAAATCCCTTCCTTCAAGCCATACTGCTTTTCCTTCTGGAGCTAGTAGCATCAGTTTCTATCTACACAAATGTCAAAATCACCCATCATGGGCTGGAGAGTTGTCTCAGCTGTTAAAGAGCACTGACTTCTCTTCCAGAGGATATGGGTTCAATTCCTAACACACACGGCAGCTAACAACTGTCTGTAACTCCAAGATCTGACACCCTCACACAGACATACATGCAGGCAAAGCACCAATGCACATAAAATAAAAATCTTCTTAGAAAGAAAGACTTGTTTCTTTAAAACAAACAAACAAACAAACAAACAAACAAAAACTCCCTTTCATATGCTCTCATCAGTAATTGTATCCTGTCAATTATGATGTTGAACTTTGCTGTGGTGCTGATGTTTCTAGTTGGTTTTGCTGTTTGTTTTTTTTTTTTTTCTTTTCTTTTTTGAGACAGGGTTTCACTTCGTAGCCTAAGCTTGCCTAGAACTCACTATCCTTAGCTCATGTTAGCATCAAACTCTTGGCAATCCTCCTGCCTCACTGGGATTCCACGTGTGTACTGTCCCCACTAACCTGAATATTATCAATCCATTCCCCCAGTCTAGTTTCTAGCGATACCACCTTATGATAAGACATATATTACTACATTCAGGTGTCTTGTGAAAATCTTTCAAACTAGTTCATTTGCCTCCACCCTCAACTCTGCTTCAATCTGTATTCTACTATCAGTTCATAAAATACAGACCAAGTATGTTTGCTGCTTATAAATGTCCCACAAGTACCAACCACCTCTAAAAACAAACAAAACAAACAAAAAAACACTTTTGGCTTCTGTGTAAAATTCTGACCCCAACCTACATGTTTAGCTTCTCATTCCTCACACCATGTAATACAATGTATTTTAACAACCTATAGAGTAGCTCAATCTTCCCCAAGGCATCTCTGTATTCACAAATAACACCCTACTTAGGCTTCCAGAATAATTCCTCTTTGGTTCATATTGGTCCCCTTACAGCCAATTAATCACCCTTCAGAATCCACCACATACATCTCTTTGATGGCTTCTTACATCCCTCATAGGTGAAAGAAAATGTACTGCTCTTATATAACACTTAATTCTATCGTAGCAGTCTATCGCAGTATGTGATGACATTCAATGAACATTCACTATTATTGCTCAACTACAATACCAGATACTGAAAATCCTGTTATGTTTTTGTCTTTTGTGTATACCTCTGCTCTTCTGGTATAACCATTACATGATCAAATAAGGAGACAGTGGCACAATAGAATTCGGATGGAGCACTGATGGAGGGAAGGAATGAAAAAGAGGAAGAAAGACACATGAGCAAACACAATGACACACAAATACTCAAATGAAAGTAAGGCCCATGATGTTATCATAATCCATATATAGAGAGTTGGGGAATGTCTGATTGATTTTCCTTATTAAAATGATTAAACTGCCGGGCATTAGTGGCCTTCCTTCTTGTTGTTGTTGTTCTTCTTCTTGTTTCAGGACAAGGTTTCTTTGTGCAGCTCTGGTTGTCCTGAAATTCACTCTGTAGACCAGGCCGGCCTCAAACTCAGAGATCTACCTGCTTCTGCAATCTGAGTGCTGGCATTAAAGGCGTGAGCCACCACCACCCAACAAACCCATATATTTGTTAGTGTGCAAAATAAAAGTTAAAGACACTAAAAAAAAAGGGGGGGGGGTAAATCATTACCCAACACCCACAAAAGATAAAATTAAGATGTAACTGTTTTAATGCAGTCATCATTTTAGCCATTATATGGAAAAGGACCCTACTACTAACAAAGAAACCAAAAATGAAGGAGAATTCAAAAAATATTATATCTGGCATAGTTCATTTTATTGGAAGACATGGAAAATAAATAGACATGAAAAGAGCAGTAACAAACTATGGCCTGAAAAAATTGGCTCTTATGAATCTGGGTTCATTTCCCAGGACCACATGGTGGCTCACAACTGTCTATAACTCCAGTTCCAGGCAATCTGATGCCCTCTTCTGACATCTATGGGTACCAGGCACACAGGTGGTGCACAGATGTACATGCAAGCAAAATATTCATATACATAAAAATGAAATAAATAAGTCTTTTAAAAGCACAAAATGTATGACCATGTTTAACATTCTCTTCTCTCCCAATTCTCTACCAATCTTTATCTTTTCAAATAGTCAGTAATACTATCCTTCTAGGATAATGAAAACAAAAATAAAAAAAATAGAAAAAATTCTCAGCTTTATAGACCACAAAAATTAGCTAAACAAAACTGCCTTTTAAACTTATAGTAAAAAGTTATTTTCAAGAATTTACACCCAAACATATACAAATAGAATTGTAAAGGACATATAGGCCAACTAGTCATAAGTCCTTGATTTACCAACATTTCTAACAAGAATCAATAACCTGGTCAATACCTAAACTCTTTGAGAATGTGGATTTATTAGTTTTGATTCCAAAAATTCCAGTGACATAATTTTTTAAGCCATCTATAAAAAGCAAATTTTGGAGCAGGGATCGGCCCCAAGCACTACAAATATTAATAGATTTCAGAAAAGTATAAGATTTAAAAGTACAGGATACTCATTATCATTATTTAATCTCAACTATAGGGAAAGTTAAAGAATTTCCTTCTTAACACAATACTCGCCATAATTATTCAGTTATATAGCCTAATGAATATATTCAAGTCTTCTACTGTATGCACAGCATGGTGTTGATGAGGGAAACAAAGCATGATGTTTATATTCTTCTAGGAGAGACATGATGACTCCAAAACTATGACAAAAGGCTTTTTTTAAGGCAATACATTAAAACAAGTTCAAATGAAGCATTACAGTAATTCCTCATTTCAGTGGTACAGACTGTAATAAAGATTACAGTCATATCACCGCTATTCAAAAACAAAAATAAAGAATACAAGAATGTTTATTGACTTAAACAGAAATGTAAGATTTAAAGATAGTTTAATTTTTTACACCCTAATAAAATATCTGACATAGATAACAATGGTAAATACTTCCAATGGTACAAATATGTATGTTTTACGCATGTCCAGACACAAATATACAATGATGTGGGCATTAAAATGTTTAAAACAGGGCTAGGAAGATGGTTCGGAGACTAGCAGTGTTTGCTGCACAAGCAGGAGAAATCTGAGTTTGAATCCTCAGCACCTATGTAAACGGACAGGTGTAACTCTGCCTAGACCTGTAATCCCAGAGCTTCAGGGAAGGGAAGATAGACACAAAAGGAACACTGGGGCTTCCAAGGTGCCAGCCTAGTGCCAGGTTCAATGGGAATAAGATGTAGAGTGATAGAATGTTTTCCTCTGTGGGAAAACACTGTGGGTGTAGGCACATACATAATAATTATAAAATTTAAAAACATATTTTCATTCCCTCTCTCCTTCCTTCCCTTCCCCACTCATCCTCTGGGACTCCACCTGTTTTACCCTCCCAAGCACAGAGCTTACAGACATGTATTACCATGCCTGGTATAAATCCTAAAACCATCTCCTATGGCCAAGCTATCTCTAAGTTCAATGAGAAGTGGATTTCATCAGGTAGCCATCGTGACTGTAACTGTCACTCAACTGTGTATCACTAGTAAGTACTACATAGCTATTTGTTCTTAACATATAAGTACATTTACAAAAGTTATCTTTTGTCTTTATAAAAGTAAGACTCACTGGTGACCAAGCCTCATTTTCTAATCAGACATGATGGCCCACACTTGGAATGGAGGAATGAGGACTACTACAAAGTCCAAGCCAGCCTGGGCTTCATGGTGAGAACTTGCCTACAGATAAGCAGATAGACACACACACAGATGGACAGACTCAAACAAAAAAAGTAAATTTTCTCTCCTTTGGAAAATAATCAAGAATACATAACATGAAATTTTCCTTTAACTTGTAAATAACTGTAATTCAATTGAGACAGTAATATTTATTTGAAAATACAAAGACTATTTGAAACCTATGTTTTGGTAACATCTCCTTTAATTAAAAATTTCATTTTAAGCATAAAAATTACAATAGGATTTTGTGATGAATTATTTTTACTTAATGTTATTAGATTTAGAAGTTTCTCTGTGAGCAAACAAGATGGTTCAGCAGGTAGACACACTTTCTGTCATGCCTGAGCACCTGAGCTTGATCCCTGGGAGCCATATAACTGAAGGAAAGGACCAACAGGCTGCCTCTGACTTCCACATACCTGCTGCGGTACACATGCCTACACATATATAAATACAAAATGAATAAATCAAAAAAAATGAGAACTTTCTCTGGCTTGCAATACCAGTAGTCTCAGCATATGGGAAGTAGAGGTGGGAGGGTCATGAGTCGAAAGCCATCTTTAGCTATATAGCAAGTTCAAAACCAGCCTGGCCTACATGAGACACTGTATTAAAATAAATAAGTAAAAATAAAAGGACAAAACAATAAGGAAGGGCAGGGCTGGGTAGAGAGATGGTTCAGTGGCTGAGAGCTTTGGCTGCTCTTGCAGAAGACACAGCTTTCATTCCCAGCATCCACCCAACAGCAAACAACCATAGTAACTCGAGTGCCAGGGGATCCAATGCCCTTTACTGGTCTCCATCGGCACCAGGCAAGTATGTGGTGCAGACATATATGCAAGCAAAACACCCACATTCTGTGGGATAATCCTCCTGTATGCTGTGAATATGTATTACTCTCATTGGTTAATAAAAAAAAGCTGTTTGGCCTATAGCTGAACAGGTGGGACAATCAAACTGAGGACTGGGAGGAAGAAGGGTAGAGTCGGGAGAGGGAAGCCAGCCGCTGGGGAAGCAAGATGCTAGAGGACAGGTAAAGCCATGATCCACGTGGCAATACATAGATTAATAGAAATAGGTTCATTTAAAAGTGAGATCTAGGTAGTAATAAGTCTGAACTATCAGCTGAGCATGTTGTAGTCTAAGTTTCTGTGTGTTTGTTTAGGACTAGGCTGTCAGGACAAAAAAAAAATTCCGTCTCCATTTGCACCCATACACATAAAAATTTCTTTTAAAAAAGAGGAAAAGGGAGAGTTGTTTCTCAGGAGCTGAAAGCTCCGTATTCTACCAGCACCTGAAAACCAGTTTCTCTGGGCAGTACTCATCCATGAGGCCAGCTCTCAAGAGCATGGAGGCAAGAAAACAAGAGTCTTTGAGCTTTACACTGAG